GCCTAAGAAGTATTCAGACAGAATTTCAAGCAGAATGTGTACTGGATTTCACAACACACTTTTATCTAGGCACTTAATGGATATAAATGATGTCTAATAGGATTAAGTTTTAAAGAAAACCTGATGTACTTTTCTAATGAACGCCATTATAATAATGAGAAACTATTCATTTGTGGTACATAAACCGATCCACTTACCACTTAAATAGTTAAGAATTTATCAAAAAGACCAGATCAGCTTCAGCCATAAAAGTCGACAAAAGACGTTTGAAAAGAACGACACTGTCTGTGTCTATAGTTTTCATGACGATCCATTAGAAACTAAATTCCTAATGAATAACTCCCCTTATCTTCTGGCTACAGCGCCATTTTCGAACTAAAATTCAGGTTAGCATTTATTGAGCTAATTCTTTAATAACGACATATTTCTTATGTATCTGAGATTACTTTCAGTGCCAGTAGTGTCACTACTCAGGAACACTATTTCTATTTTAACTTCAGTGTTCCTTTACATTCAGTGCATTTATTCAAACATTCGTCAGTTTGCTGGTATTACATTTGAACATTTATTCATCGATGTAAGTTGTGAGACATCTCGAAAATGCAGATAAACTGTCGTGCTAATATTTTCTAAATGTATGTGGTTGTAGAGGTCTTACTTTTTTTATTTTTGATTACAGCTTGATTCCACACTGTACTTTTGGTACAAGTATGGAATTTTCAGCGTGGATATCGGTAGCCCAAAATTCGCAGGCCGACCATAGATATCAGGTGTGCGTCGGCGTGGGCTCGAATCCCGGACCATGTGGATGGTCGGCGAGAGTCCTAACCACTGTGCCACCGACGCACATTTAGTTTGGGGAATGCGTGAGAAATCCATCCAACTTGATGCCTAAATTTTGAAACTACCTAATAGATCTTCGATTGTGTTTTGCGTACTTATGATCAACCAAAGGTGAAATGACACTGCAGACATCAAATCTCACACGATTTAAGTAAATCTCGGGAATTATACATAGTGAAAATAAACACGTAGTTCAGAGAAGAGTATCTTTTCGGTAAATTCATTTTCTTACCTGTACAGTCTCCAGTAAATATGGTATACCTGAAACCAATCAAATCCCTACAAACCATCACTTGAATACCAATGAGATGCTCACTGGCGACTGGCCCTATTCAGGTAGGTAGTTACCTGGGTTCCAGTGGGAAGTCGTGACCAGTAGGGTGCAGCTAGTCGGGTGTGGGGAGAAATACTCGCCGAAGACATTGGTTAGCGGTCGCGCTATGTCGTCAATTGGCAGAAGTTAGAATTCAAGGACCATTGGATCGGGTCCCAGTGGCCTTATGGTATACGATTTCGCCTTGTAACCGGAAGGTCCTGGGTTCGAATCCCCTGTGGTGGGTGCGTACTGCTGAAGAGTCCAAAACTAGTACATAGGAAACAGCTGTCCAGTACTCCCAGGTTTTCCAATGGTCCTCTAACTAATGTCAGCTCATGATGAAATCCTGAAACAAATCAAATCCCTACAAACCAACACTTAAATATTTTTTTTATTTTGTATGTAAGTGAACATTTAGTTTGTCAATCAAAAATACAATTGGTTGTGGTTATTTCTACTTAACATATGAAGATTGTTAATTGGAGTTACGTAATACAAACTCGGTCAAGATAATTGGGTGTTAATGCAATTAGGGTAGTAACAAATGTGATGAGTTTTCACAAAGACTTGTTAAAGGGGAAGTTATGTAATAATGTGAATATTTTGTTTTTTGAGTTTTACTCAGGATACACATTGGAACAAAGTAGAGAATACGAAATCCCGTAAGAATTCTAAATGAATACAAGAATTATAAGCAAGTAGAGAAACAGGCAAACCAACAAATTACTGTCATCAAAATCAACAAAGTAGTTGCCATGACAATAGAAGTGGTTAAGTATTTCGCTTTTGTATGCATAGCTCCGATTTTATATGTGAAGGACCAGAGCTTCAGCTATTACTTTTAAGGAGGCGTTTGTTGAGATGGAATTATCAGTGTTAACCAGGTGTTCAATTATTGCACTCATTACTGCACCAATATTGCCTTTTCGCAATCATGCTGGATAATGCTCTTGAACAATGCTGGGAAGGGTGCGCGTTGAAAAACCATTGTACCTACCTCTACAGCTGCAGGTGAACTCATATGCGCACACGGAATTGGTCAGATGCAGGATATCGTCCATCGTTTACACAAATGTTTGTGAAAACTCATCACAATTCTTAATACCCCGATTTCATTAACACCCAGTTAACTTGACCGATATTGTATTAAGTAACTCCAATTAACAATCTTCATATGTTAAGTAGAAATAAACACGAACATATGTAAATTTGATTGGCAAACTAAACATTAAAGCAAATAATAAAAATTTAAAAATAAACATGCAAAGCACAGATAAGAAAATGAAATCACCGAAGAGATATTTGCGATTAAATACTTGTTATACTATCAGTAAAATATATGGCTGGCTGCGTGGCGGCTAGATACACAGCATTTCTTTCTTCTCCCAATTCAAATGTCCTCGGAATGTTGCACACCACTGCATTGCACTGCGTGTAACCTCACTGTCTTCAGCATCATCTCACTACTCACTGTGACTACTAGCACTGTCACCATCACTTCGTTACAGACTGAGTAGATCAATCAGTCAACCAACTGTTGAGGATTACAACCAGCCAAGATTTAATAATAATAAGATTAGTAAGAAAACGTGTAATCACAATAAAAACAACAACAACAACAGTAACAACGATAATTTAATACTACTATTACTACTACTAATAGTAATAATAATAATAATACTAACAAGCGTAAATATAAAAATAGAAATCACAGTCTTGGCTTTCATATTTCTTTCAGTGGTAATCTGGAAAATTATGACAAGGTTGAGCATGTCAATCACATAATGAATATTAATAAATCACTACCACTACAACTACCATTGCCACTGCCACTGCCACTGAAACAGCAGAAGGTGAGACATGGAATTCAAGGCATATTTTCTTCAAGTGATCAAACAGCTATTCATATCTATACACTCTGTGTTCTTTAACCAATCAGTCACCGAGTGTGTGAATTTCGTTTACTATACTAAACGACATGAAACAGAATGTTCAAATACACATGTAGTATTCTGTTGCTAATGCACTCACTAGTCAAGTGTGTGAATAGAATAATAAGTGGGTGACGACGTCCGTCGCCAGCTGACATCTGATAGCGAAAAATGCATTATCTATTTACCTACTGGAAGTCACTGGTGAGATGAATAGCTGATTGGTAATATCCCTGATGGCCGGCCGACGCACTACTTCATCTCGCTAAACCAGTAATAAGACTGGTAAAGATGGAAGGTTCGGCATGGGGCTAGCAATCTCATCCCGTAAAAAACAGACACTATTGCTCTGGAAACATTTTGTCCCTAGCCTTAAGCCCTATGTTCCATTGGGGACGAGAAGGAGTAGAAAAGTAATAATATCTCTGATTGCATCACTTTTTGACGCGTGTTCGCGTTAGTTAGAAGTTATCAGTTTCCCTTAGGTTGAAGGTATGTCTTAATCATGAGTGTTTGTATGTGAGGGACATAAATCCAGGACGTTGTACCAACTGCCCTCAACCATCTGACTCATTGTTTTGTTTAAGTTTACCTACTGAAATGGAATTAAGGTGTGTTAGTTTACATTTTCTACACTGTAGAGATAAATAATCATGTTCAAATTATAATGGCCAAAAATAAAGTTTGTACTTCTGTATAGGAATTATTATGAATACTGTAAACTGATTGCTCACGAAAATACCCCAACTGTATTATCAATTCAAAATAAATGCAAACTGAAATCTGATATTTAGTGAGTGAAGGAACGAAATTACAACAGACTGCAGAAGACTGTCGTCAATAGCTGGCTTCCCTGGCTTGATAGTAAGGTTCACATGGGAAGAAATGATGGGAAACACGGAACTGTCACTACAGAAGTGACCGCCAAATAAATATGTAGAAGCGAATGAAGATGGATTGAACCTTAAACTCTGAAGATATGATTGAGTTAAATGGCGTACCGGCCTGTTGAGTGGATATCAAATGTGAAACTCTAAAGTTGGCGTTCGTTTGAGGGATATGTGAGGGAGATCACTTGGAGAAGAAGTGAAATCGTATGCGTGTCCCTGCAGGTACAAAAAGAGGACTGCAAACGAAGAAAAAAACTTGGGCGGTAATGTTGAAAAAACTGTATGCAACTCCTCACGATAGGAAATCACAATACAAATATTAATATCAACAGTACCAATAATAACAGTGATAATAATTCAGAATTCCATATGTTCACTGAAATAGTCTAATAACCACAAATGTCATGGAGCAGACACATGATATTGCTCAATCCCTAATCACTATTTAATGTATCCGTTACAGTTATGCACGAGGTCAATTGTGATCTTAAACATCTCGGTAGTAATGTTACTGAATAAGGCATATGTTTACGTGAATCCTAGCTCCAAACACGACATAATTTCCGTCATTTTAGCGAATTCGCCTTGAAGATGAGTGCCAGCAAGCAGGAAATATACACCCTGAGCGTCCTAATACCCTCTAAACGTCGAATAACTCACAGTTAATATATTTGGTCGCAGAATTCAGAAAATGTATTGGTGTTTCAGAGTTAATCGTCCAATAGAATGTATCCTATAATCACCTGAATCATGAGATATTAGGCACACGAAATTCATGACGAAGAACGAGAGCGAACAAATGGTTTGGTGAAAACGACATCCTTCATCTATATGTTCGTTTTTAAAATAGACAGTTTAGTAAGAGAAACCTTGATGCAAATGGATTCAATGTAGAGTGAAAGTGCACTTTTGTTACATGTGTTAATATCTAATATGCAGTCGATGAACTGATGATGATGTTCCCTGACAAGTTAGAGAAAATCAGCTAATCATTTTGTTACTGAATGGTAGTAAAAACCTGACATATCTGGAACTGGATGGAGTGGAAGACCAAGCATGAAACCTCAGTATTACCTGTTGGTCGAGGTCCACATTGACTGGTTTAAATTATTGCGAGACATAAATTTAACAGAATGATGAAGGCCACAAGAAAAACAGAAAACTAGATGCAGTTTGATGTTGGAAATTTCCACAACCCAGTAGTTCAACCAGGTGGCTTCATAACTTGAGCAATAAAAAACGGTGACAGGAACATTACTGATCGAAACACAGAACAGTTTTTCTTTTAATATCGGAAAGAAGGTATTATTTACATATTTATCCCACTCTGAAATAGCTTTCAATCTCAACAGATGTATTTGTCGGGAAGGACGACATAAATTGAGTTAGAAACAAGAATTTTCAACCCAGAAATATCTCCTGGGAGGAAATAATCTTATTTACATGTATGTTTTGAACAAATAATGAATCCTTTTTAAACAAAACGATTGCTACATAAAAGAATGAATATTTACTGGAGTTATTATCAGAATTGCATTACAATAGGTTGCACTGAAAAAGGTACTCCAGCTAATCATAAAGAATGAATAATGAAAAGTTTATTGTGTCAATTTATTCGAAAACTCCAGCTTATCAATGACCTCCTTCTAAATAAGATTATCCATACCGTCAGGAACGCTTAAGTAGTGTGCTGTGTGTGATGTCTAATGCAAGAATATCGTATATCAGAGGACTGATTTTAATGTCGATAATACTGCTAGTAAACCAAACAAAATCCTTCAAACCCAACAAATATATAGGATGAAATGCATGTGCAGCAGTCCTGCTGTGGTGAAGCAACTAAGTGATATCGACTGTGCTCATGCAGAAAGTGGCTCCCGACGTGAAAGCTCAACCGTAATATTTGTGATTTCCATACTGTGTGACGTGGATTCGCATTGTCTAAGTGTTATCAGTTTCTCCGAGTTTTCATATGTGCCCTAATGATGAAAACTACCCATATCCAGGAATTACTGTCTTCAACTTCCAAACTCATCGAAACCTATAAGTCTTTCTTATGGAAACGAATTTGGGTGTATTATCTTAGGTTCACTATACTGTGAAGATAATCACTTCCAAATAAAATAGAAAAAAGGTATTTGTACTTTCTGTGTAAGAAATATTATGAGAGAATCACACCGATTCCTCCTGAAAATATTTCCACAGTGGTATTTAATCTGAATAAGTAGAGGAGAACTCCATACAATCTTAGAGGCAAGTGAAATCCTCACAACACCTCCATTCAGACGTCCGTTGACGGCTGAATTCAGTGCAATGATATTCAATTCACAAGTAAAGGTAAGCGAAGGGTAGATGTTGTTGTTGAATTTCAGCAACAATTCGTCTATGTTAACATTCCCATCAGCTAAGATAAATGTATCATCAACATATCGGTAATAAATATCAAACTCCTTGATGATATCCTTCAATTTCCCGTTTTCAAGTTTGGCGAGAAAGAATTCAGCTAATATTGGGCCTAATGGTGAACCCATAGCTATTCCATGTACTTGTCGATAGTATGAATTATTGAAGAAAAAGTGAACATTCATTGTGCACTTAAGAAGCAGTTATTTGAGGCTACACAAGGGGATTCCTAAGTCTAATTGCCTTTCGGTGATTTCTTGACAAATATAATCTACTGTTTCCATAAGCAGTACATTAGTGAATAGTGATGATACATCCATGGATAACATGTGTTTATACCTCACATTAGTCTCGGATATTTTAGAAATAAAATCGAAGACACCACTAATTCTATGTTGCACGATTTCTCTGTGCAAAGGACCCAGAATCCTCACTAATCACTTCGCTGTTCCATGAAATGGAGAGTTATACATATCTAAAACAGGGCGAAGAGGAAGACTCGGTTTGTGCACTTTAGGTAGACCGTAATAACGTGAAGTATTGGTACCCGTTGGTTTCATGGACTTGTACGTGGTTGACGATAATACTCCTATTTGGTTCAGTTTTTCAGGGAGTCGGTCATTAGTTTCTCTGCTCTTACATTGAGGTCTTGGGAAACACCAAGAGATTGGAATTTAGTTTGATCATTCAAAATACCTTCCATTTTTTCAACATAATCACTTTTGTCCAGTAAAAATATACCGTCATTTTATCCGGCTTGCTAATAATTAAGCTTTCGTTGCTTCTACGTTCTCTTAGAGCTTTTCTGTGTTGCTTAGATAACAGACTGTTTATTGAATGTATATTATTCCAGTATTATTGGCAGCTGTCAACTAGCGCCGTTTTGAACCTAGTTAGTTCATCGTCTGATGATGGGTTAAGATCTGACGTTTGAGAATACAAATTTTCAAACTGTATACCAGTGTCTAATTGGTCAACTTTAGGAGCATAATCACTAAATTTTGGACCTAGGGATAACACCTCCAATTGAAACTTATTAAGCAGGACACTGGAAAATGTGTGAACATACCTGCCTGGAACTGACGGAAATTTCCTTTCAAGCTTTTGGCTTTCGAGAGATTCAACAAGACTTATCCTTTTATTATTACTTCTGTTGACTGTTACGTTATTAACATATTCAATGAACATCAATCGTCATTCCTGAGGTAAATCACCAACTGAAAATTGTCTTCGTGATATGTTCCTTTCTAGATAATTTATAAGAGATTTAACAAAATCAATCTGATTAAGAGCATGTCTTTTTAAATTCTTAGGATTACGATCAATCCTCATTCGTCTTAACGACTATGTACTGACAACGTCCATTTCACGTTGGAAGGTGAACATTTTCGACAAGTGGATGGCGTTGCTATGGGGAGTCCATTAGGACCTTTGTTAACGGACTCTTACATGTCTTATGTTGAAAACGTATCCCTTGATTTAATTTCCAAATTGCCCTTCTATAAGAGATATGTAGATGATATCATTTTGATATGCGACGATCATGAAGATGCAAGTCGTCTATTAGACAGACTTAACTCTGTACAGAATCATATCAGTCTTACATGTGAGGAAGAAAGTCGCAACCAGCTAGCATTTTTAGACATACTTCTGAGTCGAAGAGATGATGGCTCAATAAGACGGTCTATCTACAGAAAGCCCACTTGGACAGGGCAATACCTTAATTTTCACAGCTTCTGTTCATTTTAGTACAAGAGACGCTTGGTGAAATGTCTATTTAAGAGGATTCGACGTATTTGCACGGCTGATATTATAGACAAAGAAAATGAAATTTTGATGCAGTGCACAAGTGATTATGTCACACCCCACACTATTTACCAAATTTCGTGTGTGAGTGGGCACACATACATAGGGATGAATAATCGTGCTTTGCATGTGAGGGTGGGAGAGCAAATCCTAAAATGGTTAGAAAAACAAATGAATTGTGGTAAACGAACCAATAGTGTCAGACTACCAGCTTCGTCTTTACTTTAAAATCTAATCAAGATGAATCATAAGACTGGTGTTAACTCAGCCTTTAAGGGCATCTATAAAAACTGTGTCAGTGGAAGTGAACACTGAACGTTGGTTCATTGGCCTTGATCACCGTTAGTGGGCAACTCGAAGGCGCGAATGGTTCAATCGTTTACAGGTTCGAAGAAGACGAAAGAACACGAATAAAAGTACAGCATATTTATTGTAAAACATTTGTTCACAGACTATGTACTAACCTCGATTTGAATTGCCAAATAATACAATTTCCTTCTTAAACCACTGATGTTTTGGAGTTAAAGTCGAGAATCAGTCGTAGTAATTATCGGTTCTGAGCGTCTTCGTAACAATAGGAACTCAGGGTTAAGTTCCTTGAGAAACGGTCAAGGGTACTTAGTGAAATACGCCTAGGCTATAGCTATTCATGGACTTAAGCCCACCCCCCCGTTATGCATTCAGAAACAGTTTATTATTACTCTTAACCTAACTTAGTAATCCTTATTTAGTTAGATTACCTAACGTTGTGTTAATCAATCTTTAATCCTTTTTTGTTACTTTGTTTAATTTAATTGGCATTAATTCTTTCAGCAGCGTCGTTGTCAGGACAAGTCAGTAGTAGGTGCTTAACACCTCTGAGCTATTTTATGTTTCCTTGATGTCACTTTGGATAGCATGGACTACATAGAAAAACTGATGAACGTACTCTCAGTAAACAGTAAATTTTCTGATCCGCTGAACACAAAAAACAAGACGGAAGTGAATGAGATACACCTTGGGAATACCAAGGAAGACCCAGTAACTGTACGAATTAATTTCGTAATAATTCAGAGTGCATACTATTTTGGAAGTATTTTCTTGAAGATCCAGTGAAAAATTAGTTATAATCCTTATACATTGAGTACAAATATCATTATGTACTGTTCTTATTTCCAAAATTATTGCCTCCACAGGTTATTGAATGCAGACATAATACAACTGGATTCAGTTTCACCAGGAAGACTTAAATATTTTAATGAGTTCTGTAGCTGAAAATCATTGGCGGAACTTCTTGGATATATGTACCTGATATCTGAGAACTCAGAAAAACTGATTACACCTCTGTAGTCCGAATCCGTGTCACTTACTGGGACACTGATAAATTTTACTTATGAAATATTCATGCCTCTGGCGACGTTTTGATGCCACGTGCATATTTCATCATACTACGTCTAGTCCACATCCACTTCCATCTCCATATATGTTTGATTTTAAGATTATTGTCTGGTTTACTAGCATTATTCCCACCATTGAAATCGTCCTTCCACTAATAAATATTCTTGCTGATGACATGACACGCTACCAAATACTTATGTGCTCTTCCTAGTCTCACCCACCTTCTTTATAAGAAGGTCCTTAAAAGAACAGTGCTTCTGAATCATTTGCCACAATAAACTAATAATAATTCATTCTTCAGTATTCAGCTGAATACTCTCGCGAAATAATTCTATCTCTGGATAGTTGTTTCAAAGGAAATGCTGCCGACCATGTACATAGTTCGGGGTTCGATCCCCTCCGGACGCAAAAGTGATATCAGTTGGTCGGCATGCAAAATTTGGGCTACCGATATCACATGCTGCGAATTCCTTCCTTGTACAAAAATACGGTGTGGAATCAAGCTATCATTAAAAATTTAGTTAAAGGCACATGGTTGGCTGATTTTCTAACTAAGAGATGGATAGATAGACAATGATGATATATATAAAGCTGGTAAGTAGAATTCATTATTCCTTTATTGTTGATCATAATATTAATAATCTCATAAAACAATGATGATGACTATCATTGTGATTGCGGTTATAATGCCGGTGATCTTAGAATACAATCACTGGAAGAAGTGTCATCATTCTTATCATAGCAAACTTTTGTCATACAGTGCGAATGATGGCCAATTATTCAAAGTTAATCATGAAAAAGGAAGGTTATCTGCATCTGCGTGATACGTGGCCGATGAGTGTGTTATTACTGATCACATTAATCGATGTTGTGTGTGCAATGTTACTGTAAGGTGTCCATTGATTCTAGATATTAAGAGGACGCACATATATTCCACCAGATGATGAAAATATCAAATATATGTACAACAACACAAATATAGGAATATTGAAGTAATTTTTAGTGCTTTAATTACATTTACCGTGTGTGTACGGATTTCGATGCATTCCAGTGTGAATTAAGTGACGACTATCATAAGTTGGATAGTGATCAAACATCTGAGAGGCTTGGAGCATCAGTAAATAAGTTTTGTCTCAGTTCGGTAGATTCTTGAATTCTTTATCAATATTAATAGGGTGAATATGTCCAGCATCGATGAATACAGTGTTTAGAAAATCTCACTGGGCAAAATACCAGAGTAAAGATCGCCAGGAAAGCCAGAATATACACTGATGGAGAATTCATCTGGAAAATAATGCTGAAGATGTTGCCTGGTGAAGGAATTTCGGCTTCAGAACGCAGCCACTGAATACACAGATTGTTTCATGAAGTATCTGGTCCTATAACAGATATAGAAGAATGTGTCTTTGAATATTTCTGATGTGAGAGCATACAAATAACACCATATTGTTCTCAGAAAATATTCCTTCACTCCGTCATAAGATATTAAATTCAGTCAAATCCCACATCAATGAGTGAAATAAAGTGAAAAGTTCACGCAGAATTCAGATTTAGGCGTAAATTGTTGAAGCGATAAGAAATTATGCAGATTGTGTTAAGTTTAGATGGTAGTTCATGCTACATTTGGATATGAGGTTTAGGATGAAACCCGCCTTTATTACTTGATCGTATATTCTTATTAGAAAAAGGAGAAATGATTCTTGTTTGAGTTTCTAGTTTGAACTTAATTACCTGGAATAGATGAGTCACACCCACTGTGTGAAGACTGATGATACTAGTGAGTCGGCGAGAGTTTAATAGGTGTTACGACAAGTGTAGAAAATCTGTGACTCCTCGTCAGAGAATCGACAGCTTAGTCTTATTGGTCGCATTTTCAAAGTTTAACTTCATCAAAATTCATTTGGACCAGAGAGATTGTTTTACGGTTTACGTAGAGATATACTCATCGTTTAATAGCTAGAGAACTGATGGCAGTTGCAAAATACATGAACTTTACTGCCATGTCATTTCACTTCGCCATTCTCAACAGGCCCCACATGTCACCCCATCAGAAGTGCAAACCTAGAACTTCATCTTATGGCATGAATGCGTAGCCCATTAGTCACTAAGATACATTCAAGTGGTCCATGACTCTCGGCTTCTGTTGGTTTGTCATCTACCTGAACTACCAGTCAATGTTATATGAGGGAATTTATTTTCAAGCTCAAATTGTTTGACATTCACCGACAACACTTCTTTATAAAACCATTCAAAAACATTCTGTAGTCAGTGATCAGTCAAGGCTCAACGTTAATCATAATTTAAAAATGAGCACTCGCAAATTGAACCGTTGTTACAAATGTCAGTAAAGTGTACGCCTCTGATGACAACTGTTCAGTGCTCTACATCCATTTATGAACAGTATTTATGAACATTTCGGAGTTACTATCTATTACTAGGAAGTCCAATGTGTGTATCTACTAAACTTAAGTTTATGAATAATGATGGTTTTTTTTTTTTTTTTTTTTTTTTTTTTTTTTTTTTTTTTTTTTTTTTTTTTTTTTTTTTTTTTTTTTTTTTTTTTTTTTTTTTTTTTTTTTTTTTTTTTTTTTTTTTTTTTTTTTTTTTTTTTTTTTTTTTTTTTTTTTTTTTTTTTTTTTTTTTTTTTTTTTTTTTTTTTTTTTTTTTTTTTTTTTTTTTTTTTTTTTTTTTTTTTTTTTTTTTTTTTTTTTTTTACTTACTTAAGATAGGCTTTCAAATGAAGTCTCTGCTGAAACCGCCTGGTGAGAATTAACAATGTGCAACATGGTTTTAGTCAATTTCTTATGGTTTACTCGCCGGTCGAAAGCCAACAAAAGGGGACGGTCTGACCCTGGAAAATGAGTCGAACGGCTACAGAAACTTGAAAACAAAAGCAGAATAATAAAAGTTTAAAAAACAAACCGGATTTTCTCTGGAATGGGAGAGGCGAAATGACACCGTACGCTGGCGAAGGCCTTCAGTAAGCCAGTCTGCCTACGTGTCTAAATTCAATGAAAAGAAATGTAAAGATGAGGACGTGTAATGCTCTTATGATGAATGAAGCTAGAAACATTCCTTGGGTAGCCAATGGATATATAGCGTAGAAGTGCTAGGAATCAGTGAGAGCAAGTTTAATAGATGCGGCCTATCCAAAATATGACCATTCTGAAATCAGTTTGAAAATCCTCTGCACTCAGCACTCAAAAACAACATTTCGGTTTTCAGGACAAATGTTATATCAGTCACTTCTTCCATATGGGTCAGAAATGTGCCACGTCACAAAAGGCACTTCCGACAGTCCGTTGAGGACTTTTTTAATTAGCTACCTTCACTGGCTCCAAATTAGGGATAGAACGGCAAGAAGGAGTGAACAGCAAGAAACTAAGGGAGCGAAACGACTAAGAACCTATTCCTGAAGAAATATGCAGAGGAAAATGGAGATGGATTTGGCACACTCTGAAGAGGCCGTCGAATAAAATCAGGCGCCAACCTATCACTCTGATAGAATCCAAATAGGAAACGGAAGGTGCGACATCCGAGTGTGACATGTACGAGATCGTGTTAGCAGGAGAAGACAGACAAAAGACAGTCGTAAGGCCACCGCTGTGAATAGGACCAAGTGGTGATGGGCTGTTGGAGTCCTGTGTTTCACTTAGGACCGAAGGGAACAATAATAATAACAGTGTTAGCTACAGACAGTGCTTTAGAGTATGTCAGACTCAGATACCATCGGGAAAGCTAGAAAACGTAATTTATCTGAAACCTGTAATGCATTTTCATGACACATTTCGTTAAACCTGATCACACACTTGCCTGTTATACACATTTATGCGGTAGCAAATGGGACACAGACGATGTCCGTGTGGCTGAAATAATCTGCAAATTCAGGTCACAGAATAGTTTATTTATTAGAAATTTATTTTCTCGGAAAAGAAAAGGGATAATGCGAAAGTTAATGAAACACGGGTGAAAGATACTCATTATATCTATCAAATAGAAAAACACACTGAAATGTATATTCTCGGTTTTAGAATTTGAGAATGAAAGTCTGAATTTCCTATACTTTCCTTAGGAATGCAATAGGATTCTTTTGGATGGGTGACCTGGATAAAGTTCCTCGTGAGACTAGTTATTTCACTCCATTAATGAGTGAAGTACAATCTGGCCGTTGCTCAGGAGATTTTGTTTAGTACTTGTGAAAACGCAGGTTCAAATAGTTGGTATGTGTGCCTGGTCAGACTGCCTTAGATGCTAAGCGACCATCCGAGGGATCAAGACTGAATCACGTTCATATTTCCAAAGCTATATTTTACACTCAACACGTGGCTGGGTAAGTCTGCATATTCCTTTTGGTGTCTGGACTAGACCTTGTGTCTGGCTAGGCCGACTAGGTATGGTGTCACGCTACGGTGATGCTCGTAAACTATGTTGTAGATTTTGGTTGTGGGTGTCTGCTCTGTATCTAATTTTGTTATGAGCGTGAAGATACTAAATCGTTCAGAGATAACTCATTATTTCGTCGCGAAGACGTAGGTATTAAAGGATTAGTTATGCTGTCCCATTCATGACGGGCTTGACCCTAGTTACTAGACTATTCATAAGAAATGTAAGCCAGTGTGCATGCGTGAGGTTCATATGATGCGCACATGTGTGTATCAATATAATCTTCATGTAAATCCTTATTATATATATGAAGGCAGGTGTAATATATTCCTACATGTATGTTTGCTTGAAAAATTCCGATATAAACATGAGTGCATATTTATTTGTGTGGTCATGATTTTACATATGTGCTTCAGACATTCACTAATCTGAAGCTACTGTGGAAGTACACTGCACTCAGCATAAGTAAAAAGAGATCCACCAAAGCCAATCAGTGCTTGAGAGACTTGAGTGGCATATCACTAATCGCATTTCCAGCTGTTTGCTGCAGATAAACACAAATACCTGACCTCAAAGAGCACTGAAAATCAGATTTCTGGGCAGCAAGAAAAAGCAACAGGTATCTCTAGCAGTGAATGAAGTGAAGATGGGTCGAAGAGACTGTTGAGTGACATGCACACCTGGCTATCCCTCGAGTAGAACCTAAGACGGGAACGATGAGTTGTGCGTTGGTCCGAGAATGACGAGTAAGAAGTTGTTTGAGGGAAAGTCAGGAGCTTCTCAGCAGTCAAGAAGTCAGATAAAAAGGACAGCAGTGATCGAATGAAATAGCGACATGCTTTTGAAGCCTTATTTTCCCCTACGGATTCATGGGTACAAAAGCAATATAGTTTATGCTGTTCCAAAACCGGCAACCTGCTAAAATCACTAGGATATCAAAATGGTTTTGCCATCCATCAGAATTTATTGTATTTACTGCCTTTCATGTCGGTTCAACCGTCCAGCTACTTTTATGAATCATAACCTACTCTTACACATTTTCAAGAAGGTTCCAACTAATTGCTTGGAATTTCTTCAAGGAAATGGAAGGAAAATCTCATGCAGTAATATGGGACTCTTTGGATGGAACAATATTGTTTCATATGGTGAATCATCTAGTACTATTACAGGTACTTGAAGAGATTGAGCATCAAGTAATTACCTTGCAGTCAGTAAGCTGAAAATGCCCTACTGCATTTAAAGTGGAGTCTTCATTATGAAACAGTTAATATTAAAATATATTCAAAACATTAAAAAATTACTCACTGTTCCCATTAAATGAATTCGTCTATACAACACTCAGGTTAATCATGGTGTGCTTTTTAATAAAGACTAAATACCTAACCAATTCTATTATATAGTTTGTTCACAGTGAACTTTGAGTTGTTCAAGTGAAGATATTTAAAATTATGGTAATGATTCTTCATAAATATTTTGATGAAACAAAAACTGGAAACTCATTGAAGTCAGTAAGAATCAGGAATTGTTCGAATGTTTTATTTTATTTAACTCACTGAATTTACTCACTCCAAAGTGCAACGATGAGAAACTTTGAACTACACAGTTTCACAGTGAATACTTCGTTATTTCAGATATTTGCGTTTGTCGAAGAAAAATGAATAA